AAGCATCCCTTTAAGGGTGAAATGAAATCCAACCATTTACAGAGAAAATGATTTCAGAATGTACATTTGATTTATCCTTACAAAAAGTTCATTATTACTTGTTTATAAATTACAGAGTGGAAAGAAGTTTTGCAGACGCACTTCTTTTTATTTTATTTTTTTCCTTTTCTTTTTCTTTTTTTGGCAAGTCCAAGCATTCTTTTGCCAAAACAGGGTGTTCTGGGGCCAACCCAGGGGCAACAGCACCAGGAGGAGGTCCAGGTGGACCCCAGGCTCAGAAGTGCTGCTGGACTACCTCGATGAGGATACAGCATCATCATCCACACAGGGAGGAAAAAAAACAGTGGTTTGAATTCTCAGCCTCAGAGTAATTCAGATCCTTTCTTAATCCATTCCTGGTAGTCCTCAAAGCTTTAAATGTCAGTGTATTGCATCAGAGACAGCTCTCCTTCCTTGGGGCTGGATCCAAGCCCCTCCTGCCACCCCCTCACCTCCAGCTCCCCCTCTCTTCCCATAGTGAGTTTGTCCAATGTCTCAGAAATCAGAAGGGAGGTTTTTTTTTTGGTGGGGTGGGGAGAACACAACGATGGGGGGATTCAGCACCCATTCTCCCACTGAGTTCCCTCCTTTCCCACCAATGTTTGAGGTCAGTGAAGCCAGGACGAGCCACCCCTTCCCTCTTCACCACCAGTGTTCACTAACTGGACCAGGAGTGACCCCGGACACGTGTCTTCACAGTGCAGAGGCACAGCAGCCACAGAGATTGCTGGCAGGAGCTGGGAGATCAGGACAGAGCCCTGGGGGATGTTTGGGAAGGGAAAAAGACACTGCCATCCCACAGGGATACACCACGGAGGGTGGAGGGCAACAAACACCCATTCTGCTCTGGCACCCTCCCTCCATCCCAACTTACAAGTTATCCCTGCCAGAGAGAGGAAGAGCAGGCTGCCCTCAGCTGGGTACCACCAACACCTCAGCAGGATCAGAGAAAGCAACAGCCAGAGCAGATCTGCACATGCAAACAACCTTCAGAGCAACCACACAGGCACCAACCCACCCCCTCTGCTCTGCCCATCACCATTACCCCCAGCCCTCCACACAGGCAAAGGTGGCAAGTCCTGCTGCAAGTCCCCCAAAGCCCACATCCTTCCTCTCACTCGGGGTGAAGGAGGAAGATGAGTTCCACACCCAGGCACACGATCCCTTCCTGAGGTGTGAAGCACAAGGAAAGGCAAGAAGAAAGATAAGAGCAAGGCTTGGCAGTGCCACACTCTGCTTCACCTCCTACTTGGCCCTCCTTTGCACCATTTAATTGGAAAGCAAAATGGTTTTGAGGAAGAATAAGTGCAGAGCTGAAGAGGGCTGCAGGGCAAGGCTGGCAATGCTTTCCTTCCCCCCACCAGACAGCTTTGCTCCCAGAGCACGTGGCTTTGCTGCTCGCGGGTTCTGGTGGTCTGAGCCCAGTTCCAGCCCAGGGACAGGGTGGAGTTTTTTAGTCTTCCCCATCTCAAACCTCAGGACTTGGTTCAGACAAGGTCAAGGAGCCTCAATGCTCACCTCAAGAGTTCAGCAGTGGGAAGTGAGGATCTCACTTGCCTCCTCCTCCTTTGCCTCTCTCAGCACCACACACCCTCAGAGGCCTCTGGGTTCCCTCTTGTGGAGGTTGTCTGGCCACCACCTTGGGAAATCGCTGTGCCCAAGTCAGTTTGCTAGTCCCCAACCCCTCCAGGGACAAGGAGAAAGATTTTTAATGCCAAGTACTCCAGCTCCCTTAGGATAAGAACCACAGGGTTAGCCAGACAATTAGACAGAAGTATTGACTGGTTTGGCCTTAAATCATAAAATGCTTAAATGATTCTTGACAAAGAGAAGAAAAAAGAATGCATTTCATCTGTAAAGCCCCTTCCTCCCACCGAAACAGAAGTCTGGTTTAAATTTAGTTTCCTAAGAGCAAGAAAAGTGAGTCCAGGAGGAGGACAGGGGCAGAGCCCAGCAGAAGTGCCCCAGTGCTGCTATTCCAGCAGGACCTTCTCCTCCTGCCCAACGAGGTAGAAAGGAGAGGCAATTTGGAAGGAGATCTAGAGAATGATGGAACTAATACTGGAGGAGAGAAGGCAACAGGCTGTACTTCACAAATAGGAGATCCAGATACTGCAGCTGAAGCTCCCAAGAGACAAGGGCCATATCTCAGCTATGAAAACATGACCTGCAGGGCACTAAAAACCCCCAAGGACACCCATGCACAAGAAGGGCTGGGATCAGGGGAAAGGTTGCTGCCACTGTGGAATAACAGGGTGCAGCCCCAGCAGGCATACACTTTAGCCCCTGCTTCCCAGGGCTCTGGTGCTGCCATACAGCCACACAAAGGATGACTTGTCCTTCCCTCCTGTCTCCAGCAAGGCCTGGCACGGGGCTTGTGCTGTTATCACTGAGATAAGGCAAAGCCGAAGGTCTGAGACTAGACCTCATCCTTCCTTCCATGAGTAAAACCAACAGCTTCTTCCTTCCATATTTTTCTGCTACTGGATCCCATGAGCTAACAACACACTCGGTCTCCTCCAGCCGCCCCTGTGAAAAGCAAGTTCCCCTGATGCTGCAGCCTCAGTGCTGCTGCTCTCCTCCTGCTCAGTGCAGGCTCCTCCTTTCTCAGCTGGGTCCCCATTCCTCTGTAATCTCTCTGTACCAAAGACCTCCACGCAGCTGCTTGGCACAAGGACCTCATGACTGTGACAAGACTCTCTCCTGCTGCCTCATCGACGAATCCAGACTCAGGAGAGCCAGAGCTTCCCTTTGGGGAAGAGCTTTCTGTTTACCAAAGCTTTTCCCTCCACTCGGTTCCCAAAGGGGATTTTCTACCTTTGGGAAGACACACCAGAGGTGAGAACAGCAATTTAAACCAAACCAAACCAGCAAAGGCAGCCCTTCAGCTCTTCTAAGTAGGCATTATGGCACAGGAGAGGTGGAAGGAGCTAAGATGAGTTCCCTCTCACTTTGATCAGAAAAAAAGTGTTCCTCTTCATTCTGTTCCAGTCTCAGTCTTATTAGGCAATCAAGTTATTTTTGCTGATGTCTTTAATTTCTCTAGAGAGGTGAATAGGAGCAGTAAAGAGATAGAGAGATAGGAATGCGGCACAAAGGTGGGAATGGGCTTGGCAGCACAAGAATATGGAACAAGTTAACAGCCATGAAAATCCTCCTGGCCCAAGGTCAGGGTCACTCTTCCTTATGCCAACACTCTCCTCCTCATCCTCCACATGATCCTCACTTCTGTGCTCAAAACATGAGCCAGTCTTTCCACTGCAAGGCTAACAGAGCAAGTTCATCATGCTCTTCACCCTCTGCTCACTGCAGCCCAGGCGCCGGGCACCCAGTCGAGCCACCTGCTCAGGAAGGATGGTGGGGTGGAGACATGGAGCTGCCTCCTCAGGGAGCTGAATCCATCCAAGAAAACAACAGGACAGATCCTCACTGCCCATGGCAAACTCTTGAGTCCAACCAGCTGCAACGAGTGTCCTCCTACAACTTCCTCCCTCTGCATGGCATGGCCCAGGCGCCACGTGTCCCCTGGATTCCATGATGTCTCATGGCCTCGGGGGGAAGTTTGCCCATGGCCTGTTTGTCCACAAGCTCCCTCATACCCCCCGAGAGACAGACAGACCCTGTGCCTCAGCTCAGGATCCCCAGCACCCATCGCTGACCCAGAGCTTTGCTCTTCTCTCCTTTTTACCCCGTGGTAAAAAGGGAATAGGCAGCACGTGTAAGCAGCAGCCCTGCAACAGGCACAGCCCACAGTGTTACAAAGGCAGCCAGAGAGGCACCCAACAGTCCCACGTGTCCAACGCTGCTCTGTAGAGCCAGCACTCTCCCTATGAATTCCCCAAAAAGTCATCCATGCTGAGAGGATGAGACCTCCGTGAGAAACCTCAGCTTCTGGGTCCCACTGTTTCCTGAAAGCACACACCCCTGAGCCCAACTACATCCCCTTCCCCCTCAGTACTGGTAACTAACACCCACGTGCATACCAAGACCATGCATGTTAGCACTCATGCACATAGGAAACCATGCACTTGTAAACATACACTCCCATCATCTGATTAAAGTCCCCTGCAGCTTACCCCAGTCCCCACAGCAGCACGTACTGCAGGGAAGATGCTTCAGCTTCTGTGGGCCAAGCCAGTGCAGTGTTGTGGGGACAGGGATGAAAAAGGATTAAAAAAAAAAAAAAAAACAAAAAAACAAACACACACCACCAAAACCAAATCAATCAGCTTTCTCCTCTGCTCCCCATCTGTCTGCTCCAGGATTGGTAGAACACCAGGGCAAGACACAGCCCAGGACAGATACCATTAAGCCTGCAGGAGGAAGACGCCTTGGAAGCAAAGGATTTCCCTTCCCCAAAATACTCTTTCAAGAGAGAGGTATACAAAAAAAAAAGCCCCAAACACACACACCGAGATGCTTTTGCACACTCACTCGCCCCAAAAAACGCCCGTGACACACATCTGCACACGTGAGCACTCCATTGGTTTGTGCCTGCTGATTCACACGCTCGCCGAATAGCCCAGGCTGGCATCTGTGCTTGCTCGGATCCACAAAGGGTGAGGGTGGACAGGAACAGCTGCCTCCTCTCGCCCTGGGGGACCCTCCCAGCCTCCCCCGGAGGGAAAATCTGCCAGCTGGCTGCAGAGACTCTCTCCAGCCAGCAGGAGAGGTTCAGGAGATGCAGGAAAGTCTTTAATGCTGCTGCCAGAGTAGGTCCCCAGCACCTCTTCTCCTCCCGCCCTTCACAAGACTGAGGAATTCACAATCCCGGGGTCACTATGAGATGAAGGGAAGAAAAGGAAGGGAGGGAGGGCAGAGACCCCAGAGAAATGGCAAACCCCACCCAAAAACCAAACAACAGAGAAAAAAAAAGAAAGGAACAGATGAAAACGCCCGACTATTTCCCTTTGTTGTGAACTTCGGATT